GAGCGCGGTAATGCAACCCAACTTGGAGACGTCAGCTTCAGCGCCGGGAAGTTTTTTTTTTATGATTGGTGCGTAGTGTGTGTAAGATGACGAGAACTAAATCAAGGGTGAGCGCACACCGTTCTATTGACTTTCCGAGGCAACTAAGCTCAGTAGGGATGGCAAAGGTCGTGAACAGTAAAAGAACTAGCAGGTGGAAGTCAGCCAATTTATAACCGAAGGAGTGTGGATAGATGGATACAGCTCTGTCTCGGGCTTATTCTGCCGTTCATTCAAACAGAAACCCAAGCCTGCGCTTGCACACGGCACGTAAGCAGTGGTTACGCCGATGCTTGAAACAACAACAACCGAACAAAAAAGAACCAGATAGTTCCACTCAGGCGCCCAAAACAAATAAATGGCGAAGCCTTCCTGGATGGCGGGCTAACTACTACTGACCCCATTTTGGCTGTCTTTTCTGTCTTCTTTCCTAACACTGTAATTTTATTTCCCTGCTCCACCCCCCACACTCTAGTTTGTGTCACACCCGCACTGCCAACACATCCTGACAAGCCTGTGGTATGACCAACTTCCCGGCTGGCGAAAGCACCACCCTATCGTCAAACTCCTCTTCTGCATTGCCATCGTGATGGCTCTGCCCCTGCTGGCAGTCATTTACCTCATTCATCCTCGCGGCAGCGTGGGTCGCTTCCTCCGAAGTCCCATGATCAAGTTTGTCAACCACAGTGCCTCCATCGCCATTTTTCTGGTGCTGCTGCTTATCGCCTCCACCGATGGTCAGAGCATTAAGGCGTTGGAACAGCGACAGAAGACACGCGGTCCCGATCCAAATCGTATTGAGCTCCTGATTTTGTGGTGGGTTGCGGGTGAGTTACTATTCCTGGATTTTACATATAAATCCACAGCCTTATAAGAATCAGGCTGCAAATCTCTGAGAACACCTGAGAGCTGTTTTGTCGGCCGTCGCTCTCGTGGAATCATATTTCAAATACATTTTTTCTGAAAGACAAACTATTTGATATTCGGAAGTTGGCCTAGATAAGGACGTTCATCAAGATATTTGAGATGGAGAGAAGCGGACTATCTACTGCTCCCTAGTTTTGTGAAACTAAAATTTCCACCTTAAATCCAGCGTAAAATTAAAAAGTGCGTTTACTACGGACTGCCGTCGGGCTCATAATGAGCATTTTTGTGAAACGACTCGACTGAATTGGACTACGCTGGAATCATTTTGACGCTAATTGCACCTGAACTGTATACTCCTTAATATGGTCAAAATACTATATCTCATAGAGAGTCTGCCTTACCGAACCACCGATGTCCCGGTCTACTCAGATAATCATTGTTATCCAATATTTTGTCCATAAAGTACCTTTGTCTATTGAAAGAGAGCTTCACTTGATCAGCTTACAGTTCAACAAAATGTGCCAGCTCAAACAATCAATTCTAGCTACAGTTAAATTAACCTTACTATCGCAAGTCGAAACGGACCCATCCTTGATTTCACAAATTCGGTGGCAGTTTTAATGGACCTATTTAATCACGGATTCTTTAAATATCTTTTTTATATTTCTAATCTTCTTTTTTATTCAAAAATTTTGCCGATAGCAATATAGATTAGGATGTTGCCAAGGGGCATGGCCCTGGCAGTTTAGTGAATGGCACATGCTAAGAGTTCTGAGCGGCCGAATACGCCATGATTAGCTATTCGGTGGTTAACTTGATGAGTTTTGGTTTTTCCACTCTTAGCTTATAGGCTTAATACCGGTTAACCAGGTTTTTGAAAGGAATTCTGTGTGAGCCTATCCCCTCTTCCAATGGATCTTATCCCGAAACACTGGTGAGGAGAGAAAGCCGCCAAAGGTTATCCTAGTCGGGTTAAACAATGCCGGTTGGGCCGGTTCGAGGAAAATGCCTTTATCGGGACGTGCATCCACAAGTCAGTTAACAGACAGCTTCCTTCTGGCTAGAGACCACCCCCTCTCTAAGGACAGGCATGCCAACATCTGTTCGCAGTGCTGACCAGATGGTTGAAGCAGCTGCGTGGGAGCTATCCAATGCCATGCAGGAGACGGTTAAATTGCCTTAACAGTCACCATTGCTCGCTCCAGTTTCCTCTAGCTTTTTGATGCCAAAAAATGAAATGGAAGTGGCGGTTTTTTATTGCTTAAAACTTCCGTCTAACTGCTAGGTTTATAATTGCTGATGTAGTTGTGCGTTCACTCCAATTTCTCACCCTTTATTCTTCTATCTTCGCGCTAAAGTGCACAAAATTGTAAAATTAAGTAACGTGGAGAGAAGGTTGCGGGTACGCTTTATTGGATTCCAGTTTGCGCAGGCAAAATGGAGTAGTTTTGACTCCCAGAAAAAAAGCAGATTAAGCTCCACAAAAGATATGAACTATTTTTTAAAAGGCCAAAACGAAACGTGATCAGTCTGGCCCATCTTCCTAGTTTTGCTGTTCGCCAGACTGAATTACCATTGGCTACGTTGTAGAGCAGCCGAATCCAACGATCGTTGGATAGCCGACTGCACTCAGACTGGGCGATTGGTATGTATCTGGTAGATGAAGGAAAATATTCCAAACTAATCAAACCGGTCTGCTTTGTATTTGCAAACTATCATACAAACAATTACACTAAGTGAATCCGTTCCAACTTCACGCCCTTATTCAATCCACGTTTACCCATATTCAAACAGAAGCTAATGACGTCAAAAGTAACTTCCATCCACAGCTTACAGACCACTTTAATGTTTAACCTATCACTGATTGGCGAAAAACAATATTAATCATTTTAATTTCAATGGTGACTCTAGCACGTGGGTCGTTATCGTAAAGAAGGGAAAAACAAAACGATTACCTAAAAACTTAAACAGTGGTCTTTTAAACCCAGCTACCGTTCAATGTTAATGCTTGGTTCATCTTTTGAAATTATCTGGCCATATTTTATTGACGAATTCTTATGTTAAGACTTTGAACTTCTTCAGAAATTACTACGTGGACGCGGAATAGGTGTTCTAGCACTAACCTACTTAGCTTCGGCTATTAGCAATATTCTGTTATATTTCGAAAAGTATCGGCAAGCTTCGGATAATTAAACTTAACTTGCTGCCCTTACTGTTCGGTTAACTTGAACTTTGATTGTTTTTAGAAATCAGTACGTAGGTCGCACGTGTAGGACCCATTGGCGGAGAGTTATACCCCTCAATCGGCCTTAAAGAAGAATTTGACTTCGTTAGACATGATTAAAATATTTTTAGGTTTGTATGGCCGGAAGCAGTCGGGAAGAAGGATAGTGGTCTTTCGAGCCTTACTGCAAAATGGCGTACTCGGGGTTCCTATTGCACGTTCATTGATACCGCACTAAATGCCTGAAAAAAACACATTTAAGCGTTTGACAGGACGCAATGTCTGCAGTATACCTGATGCCAACCACACTGGCCCCTACAGAGAAGGTGTAGACGTCAGATCCAATTCTATGAATGGATCTGACATGAGTAGATCAAATCACTGTCTAGACCAAATGAAGCTTTCTAAAATTCTCAGAAAATGCCACTTTGATTCTAGAATGTTCTGAAAATTCTAAGGACTTCCTATAATCCCTCAAATTTGAAGGCTGCAAATGCCAAGCTCACTCGTAGGATTAGACCTCATTACGCATATTTTTATCCAAAGAACATTAAGTGAAATAATTTATAAATTACTAAGTATTCAAAAGCCAGTAAAAGGCATCCATTAAAACATAAAGCTACGGACGAGTAACGACCAGGTAAATGAAAATGCAAAATAAGCAAATAGAGTATTATTTGGTTAGTGATGAATAACAGTTTTCTTACGAAAATTGGAACTACGGAGAGCGCCACAATTTGTGTAAAATGAACAATTCCATTTATTATTAGTATTCAAAACTAGCGCGGAAGCCCGGCTTCGCCTTGGGTTCCTTAACCATTGTTGTCTCTTATGAAGGAAAAAGGTATTACAGGAGGGACGATCATAAGTGGGGTATTAATAGGAACCGTAAGGAAGTGAAAGATACAACCATCAGACCAATACTTCGTGGTAAACAACATTCTTCGTAATCCCGTTAGTTGCCCAGACGCATAAATTCCGTTTTGAACCGACTCGAGGTATGGCAACGTAGAGTTGGCCGTAGGAAAAGCATTATTCTTCAAGGTGAAGTCCAGTCGCCTTGAAGGTTTGACCTCGGGACTTGTAGATGAACACAGCAAAGCAAACCTTCATGGGAAACTGCAGTCACCGGAAATTGAAGGTGGTATCGGACAGGATAATGGGAATGCGAAAAATGCAAACAATTTCCCCTTTCGCACAACCGTTAATAATGGTTGCCTCTATCAGATAGCTCATCAGACGCTGGACAGTCAGCCTAGTGCCATTGC